CTCACCAGACATGAGCCAGCAGGGCAGACCCAGTCCCCCACCAGGCCCGCCCGCCCCGCCCCAGCCAGCCCTCGTCGCCCGGGCAACGGTTCCTTGGTTCCCTGGCCGGGCTTCTCCACCAGCCCCCGGGACACGGTGCATGTCCCTGAGCTGAGGCAGCGGGAGCCTGAGCCTCCCAGCACGGCCTGCCCTTTCCCTCCTGGCACTGATGGACACGTAGCCCTGGGGGTGGGGGTGCGCACAGCCCCTAACCCGAGCCGTGTTCTCCCCGACGTGCTCCCACCGTGGGATCTCCTGGTGCCACATCAGTTATTCTGATGACTCCAGGTGCCCTGGGGACAGACGCACACAGACTGCTTCTGGGCCATGATTTTAATCAAAGCAAATGTTATTCTCACACCCAAACTGCCTGCGGCCCAGCAGGTGGAGGCGACAGACGGAGACCTCAGGGGAGTGAGGACCGAGAGGAACTACTTGTTAGGGGATGTGAGGCCTCCGGGGCAGCTGAGGGCAGCGGCCTGGCCCAGGTCACCGAGGCTGGGAGACGTGACCCCGTCAGTTTTCAAACCCTTCAATGCACGCCCCCCCAACAGTCACTGAGCCGCACAGTGGACAGTCCACCTCCATGTGGTTGACCAAGGGCTTGGGAGCGGGACATGAGGGGTGACAAGTGCCAACACGCGCCCCTGTGGGCCGGCGCCCTGAGCAGGCAGGCGCTGCTGCAGTGGCTGGGTCAGGGGAGGGCAGCAGGGGCAGGTGGACAGCGTGGGAGAAGCATGGAGGAGGCTACCCTGTGCCCGCGCTCTGGGCGCCCCAGTTGTGTGGGGTCTGAGCACAGGACAGAGCCTCAGGTCTGCTCTCATCGAGGAAACAGCGTGGGGCGGGGGCTCGGTCAGAAGAGAAAGGCCGAGAGGGTGGAGCCGGTGGCCTGCTGTCTGCACACAGTAGGTGCTCAACAAAAACGGGCAGGAACCCGGCCGGGGTGGCTCAGGGGTTGAGCATCGACCTATGAACCCGGAGTCACGGTTCGGCCAAGGGCACAGGCCCGGGTTGTGGTCTCGATCCCCAGCGTGGGGCGTGCAGGAGGCAGCTGATCATGGTTCTCATCATGTATGTTTCTCTCTCTCCCTCCCTTCCTCGCTGAAATCAGTAAAAATACATTTTTAAAAAACCCACAAAAAGCGTGGTAGGAGCCAGGTGAGGTGCGGGAGGAGCAAACCAGGCAGCAGGCACGGTGGCCAGGAAACTGCGCAGACCAGCGCCAGAGTCCAGCCCCACACGAGCCCCCTCCCCGCACCAAGCTGACCTGCCAATCAGACAGAACAGCCAACCTACGCCCCC